GTCTATAAGTAGGACTTATTGAGATTAAGAGAAATCTCAAACTGTTCGTGTTTATGGCTATTCGTTCTCGAAATACGATCAAGTCTATCTTTTGAAAAACACTAGGAAGTGATTCTATAGGTAGTCAACCATAAAAAAACAAAGATCTTAAAAAAACTGTTAAATGTAGTCTGTCTTGAAGAGCTCCCTGCACTGATCATTTTGGTAAAAAAGCTTTCTTAAAGCGACCGACAAATAAGGATTCTAGAGTCCAAATAGAATATAGGTGTGGATGTGAGTGAAAAGAAGATCAACACTAACACGTACACACCCACACCCACACTCACTCACACCCTCTTATGAGAGAACATATTTTTTATGATCCTCGGATCACTGAATATTCTCTTTTGATAGTATCACAGCCTTCCAAACAATCCTCGCATTGTCATTCAGAACAGCATTCGAAAACAACAGGATGACAAGTTAGCAAATAGTGAAATATAGATGTGATAATGTTGGGAAAACGTTTCCCGACCATTACTGAGTCTTCTGCCGAAAGAACCAGCTGTCCGTATCGCTGCCTGATTCACCGCTGATGTCAATACTTGCATAGAGTTCCCAACCAAACGAATTGAAGCAGTCGAGCAGAGCTAACAATGTCACGCGAGTGGTGATAGCTTCATCCCCACTGCCCCACCATGGATTGCCACGCCTACATATAAAAGAGTTTTCTGAGTGAAAAGAAAAAGAGAGATCTATACAGTTTCAATTGATAGGCTGCTCCATTGTCACGCCATTCTTCTCGTTGAATATTTGCTCGACCGATAGTTTGTTGCACTGGCTCTATGAGATTTTCTGGAGCACCAATTAAACGCAATTTGTCTGATTCGTTGAATGAAACAGCAAAGAATGGTGTTAGTGAGGGTGGAGAACCAAGTCGAAAGAAAAGGGAGTCCTTGTCTTGCTCCTTCTTTGAAACATCAGCTGCTGTTAGAAGATACCATCCATGATGATATAATGCAGAGAGAACAGTCATTCTATTAGGAAAAAAAAACTGGGCAATTGAATCAGTTAACTAGTCAACACTATATACATAAGAATACGCGCAGGTATAGCCTCAACACTTTGTCCCAACCAAGGTCTTCCGTACAGTTTGAATTCATGAGCACCTAAACGTTGTTGCTCAAGTTGTATACCACGTGGCCAACCAGTTAGAATAGCCTGTCGAACAGCATCAACGATCGGCATAGGAAAACGAATGAGTCGCAGACGATCATACATGTTAAGAGTGAGACAGGCATGATAGTGTGATGTATAGGCTGGAGGGATCTCAGTAGAAATTTTCATACCGTCTTTGTTCCATTGATATTGCGACATGATCCAGGTACAAAAGTGTATACTACTATTTTGTCAAAAAGACCTGTATATCTAAAGGATTATAAAGAAGAAAATAAGATAAAAAATAACTTTCGTAGAAGACTATCCCGGATATTCGTTTTCGAATTATTTCCATCCATCATGCGACTAAACTTCGAAGAAATGATAGTGATTTTAATATCATTTTCTTTTGTTTTGTTTTGTTTTGTTTTACTTTATCCATCATTGATCTCAGATCATTTCCGTGGTTTCACAAGAAAAACTACTGGATCTAATTTTTCAGCTTATACGTCGCTCCTAATAGCTCAAGTACGTTTTTTCCGTATTAAAATGGATGATGGGTCTAATTTTATTATTTTTTGCAGCTATGTGCTAATGATGATGATAATAGCATCAAATGTTGTTTGTAATAGAAATAATTCTCAATGACGTTATTGTCACTATTGAAAAAAAATCATGAGGTGAAGCGATCCGACCACTCAGTGCTTCATGGCAATGATTGGAAGAGAAAGATCGAATGGTTCTTGTGTATTCACTTGAGATTTCCTTTAATAGATCCGATCATGGTTCTTTCCTAGACGAAACCCATTCAGCACTTTGTTGCTCGTAGATAAATCCTTTTCTTACCTTACAGCAACTATAAAATGACTTTTACTTCACCTGTCGATTATTCTTCTATTCTATTGGTTAAAACACTCAAAACAATGTGCGTATATTCATATCTTTGATGTGCTACATCGTAATAAGCAAACGAGAGATGATATCGAAGTTACACTGATGCAGTGTTATCTTTTACAACGTCGAATAAAACTTCAGTTGTATCTTATCGTCATACTAATGTGGAATTGTTTCGTGACGCAAGAATGCTTTGCTTTGGTACCACAATCTCTTGCTAGTAGTTTCATTCTAACAGGATTTATCATCCATTACAGCTGATCAACCATGATCAAATTGAGGATAGTATACAAAAAAACCAAAGCAAAACTCTTGATACAGAATGACACTCAAAACATACAGTTGCCACACTTCCGATGATGATCATAAAAACAAATTTTCAGACAAAGCATTGTTTTCCAGCTGATGATACGGATATCTGTTTACTGAGATTGATACCTTTCTTGTTCGATCATTTGTGTAAGAAACATAGAACTAGGTGTAAATCTTAACGTATAGATCTCATATCAAGCAAAGAAATATCTTGACTCGTTGAATACCTTCTTGGCCAATACAACAACCAATCTCAGTGTTCTTTTCGAATAATTAGTTCGCTGTCATTTCTGTTGTATTGAAATAAGATACTAATAATATATAAGTGACGAACAGTCGCCGTTTTAAACGAATTATTGGAATGATTAACACTCGTATATAGAAATTTTATATCGATAAGACACCTACAGAAAAACATCACTAGCTGACCGAATTGAATGGTATTAATCGTTGTTATTCGGGAAAATATGGGTGATTAACTCAGCATGAAAATACAGTTAACCGATGTTCGTCATTCAATCAGATGGTTGACGCAACGTTAATCGTGGATATTTAAAATATGCCTCATCTGATGCACATTAATTACCTCTTTGGTTCCGGAACATCATACTTGAATTTTGGATTGTGGATGTGAGTGTGTGAGTTACTGTTCTCTTCTCCTTCGCCCACCAACACTCAGATCCATACTAGGACCCTCAGTCACACCCACACCAATCTTGCTTCATCTCCTCAAGCGAAGAAATTTCAACGTCAACTACTTTGTATTGAATACGCAGAAAAACAAAGGAATCCAATTAAATTGAGAAAAAAATTGAATTGTATTGGTTTGATGAAGTTTTTAATTTTTTTTACCTCATATCGTTATAGAATAAAATTACATCTGCATGACAAAGAACAAGCAGAAATAGCTACAGTCAAAAATTCATATGAGATTAAAATTTCTATGTTGCTTGGTGCTGTAGGTATTCATACACGAACTTCTTTCCTCCCTCTGGACAAATAAATTTATAATTTATTGTCCAAATTATTTCGCATTTCACAATTGAAATTACTAAGCAGATGTTGAAAATTTCACATAGAAGAGAACCTCATTGAGTCTTCCAATATACAAACAGAAATTAAATACGGGCTAATAGAAATTAAATATGAGTCATGGAAGAGAAACATCTCTAGAAAACCATCGCATAATCAAATTAAATTAGCTGCTAAAGAACTAATTCAAAGAGTGAGGAAAATAACGCATTTCAAGTTTAATTGATGAAGAACGAATTGTATTAATAGAACTAAAAATGCACAAATCGTTCGTTATATTACGAGCTGACAATGGCAATGCAGTAGTATGCATGGACAAAAGTGGTTATATCGATAAAGTATATCAAATTTTGTAATATCCACAGAAGTTTAGTAGGATAGAAAATGATGAATCAGCAAAAGAAGAACAAAAATTAATAGTAGACTGCTCAAATTATTCAAAGATAAGGAAATTATAAGAAAAGGAGATTATGAATTATTTGTCTCAGGTAGCTCAATTTCAGTGCTTTATTGTACATTGAGGGTACATCAATCCAACTTTCCATTAAGAACAATAATTTCAATGTATAATGATCGAAATTATAGACTTGCAGCATTTCTTGCTAATATGATAAAGAAGTATGAGAAAGAAAGTCTTTTCATATATTAAGGACTTATTTCAATTTATCAGTATTATGAAGAAAACATTGATGAGAAACAACGAATTTACGATGAACTTTGAGGGTGTGGATATGAGTCGATCTTCTCTCCAAGCATATCCACACCCACCTCTGGTCTCTTGATTCGGTTCCAAGTATGACTGCCTATCCGCCATAGAATTGAGTGTCTTAAAGTTTCCTTCTATGACATCGTATTAACTTAAAAATAAATGAAAATAAGTTTGTAAGAACACTCTTTCAAGTGCACTTTGTTCGAATCCAGAAATCCGAAATTAGATGTTTCGGATTCCTAAAAATCCTAGGTTTTGAAGTCGAAAATTGCCAATAATGTATTTATGATGTTGATAAAGATTGCTCCAATGGTGAGCCTTATGTATTTGATGAAGAATCTCGTAGAAAGAAGGAGCTGGGTGTGGATGTGTACCAATGTCTCTGTGCATATTTACACCCACACCCACACCAGGGCTGCCAAGTACTGGCTTTCAAATGTGGTACATCAGATTTCAAATGGGTTACAGTTGGGGTACAAATTTTTTTTAGATGGGGTACATCGTTGGGGTACTCAATTTTTTTCTAAAAGGAAAGGAAAGGATTAGTTTGGAAAAACTACTTAAAAAACCTTTTCTCTTAAAAAACAACATAATGTTTCACTGTTCTCTATTAGATTTCGAGTTTATTGAGTATTTTTCACAAAAGAACACTGTCACAATTAAGTCATAATTTAAATAGAAAACCTATACTCTACAAAACAATAAAAAATTTCCAATCAAAACATGCTAAATATTGTAATTAACTGGAACAAGGTTTTTTAATATGACTATACTTTTCTTGTTGTCGAGCACATTTGATTAGTTCAGGTTCATTTTGAATAAATGTAAAAAACTCATTACATTTCATCTTACAATTCAATCGTATTTTTAATTCAGCAGCTACAGTTTCACTTAACATTGAACTTCGACTATTTGTTCATAAATGTTTCATATGACTAAAAATACCTTCGGCAAATGCATTAGAACATGGAATTGAATAGACATAAGAAGCCAGCTTTGTCATTTCATCACAATTTGTTGTTGTTTTGGTAATTAAGAATGCCCAAAGCTGATCAGGTCGAATTTTATGATAACTATCTTGATGAGTTTGTGTTTGTGTTGGTGTTTTGTGAACAAGTTCTTCATCATCTGATTCTTCAAGTACTTCATTATCTATTTGTTTTTCGATTTTATGACTACCAACATATTTTTCAATTTGAACAAATAATGGTTCGCGATAAGAATTAACTTCTTTATATGTATTTTGTAAACTAATCGTTTCCTTGAATAGTTTGTCATGATCAACTTCAAGATTAAGAATAGCAAAACGCTTTTCAATTTGATCGAATTTAATTTGATCAATTTCAGTTATACCTATAAGCAAATAGAGTTTTATTTTGTTCGTGCTAAGTCACCAACTACTATACCAAAATTAGCTACTGATTCAGCTAATAATGAATATTCATCATAATACTTGTGTATATATTGAATGATACTTCTCAAATATTTTACGAATGAATAAATCAATTTCTCGTGTACATCTTCAGGCATTGCAATTAATAATATTCCTGTTTGGTGTCCAAAATATTTTTGTTCTAATCGATCATTCAATTTTTTAAGTAAACTCGTAATAATCCGATGCAAATCGGCAATTGAAGTACTATATCGTAGAAGTTCCAAGTTCTTTGTTTTAATATCAAACAAAACTTGATGTAAAAAATGTAATGTGCATTTGGCCACATCTGATGAAAACAATCTTTTGATCGAAGGTGGACACTTTGCTTCATCTGCATCTTCATTCTCCATATTTAAAAAATACGCAGATAATGGATCATATACTTTTAATAAGCATGCAATTGATATATATGAAGTAAGCCAACGAAGTTTTATGTGTTGTAATAAACGCTAGAGATAGTAGCTTGTAATTTATATAAAAATATAAAGCAAAAACTACAAATACCTACCAGATAATCTTCTTCAACAAATTCAAAATATTCTTTTAGTTCTGCAACTCTTTTAGATGATGAACTAAAATGACTGTAAAGCTGAGATAAACTTGATTCAATATCAACTAATAGAAGGTGATGAGAATTTTTCACTGAACTGTGAAGGATATGACAATAGCAGTTATCTAATAAAAAAAAAGGTATTTTTCTGAACCTCTTCAAATTTTGAAATTATTGTTGTAATATTACCTTTCAACAAATTTGAAACTTCAGATTTTATTCGACTAAACACAGAATGATTGCAACCAAAATTTGTATTAGTATTATCAGCATCAATCCCATGTGTTCGAATGCGATCGAATTGCGACGCAGTTGTTAAAAAAGTGGCGACATGGGAAGAATCTTATATAAAACAAACAAATAACAAACTAAAATGTTGAAACAAATAATACAATCAAACAACCTATCATGATCAAACAAATATATGATACAATAAAACATTATATTCGGTTAAAATAACACCATCAACCATATTACAATAATCTGTATTTATATATGAACCTGTTATTATTAAATATCTATATTAAAATATAATTAATTATTTCATCTATAAAATATTTTATACATTTACTTCAATTATTGATATATATCCACATTCACCAATACATACAAATTGTATTACTATATGGTCAATGAATTATATTATTTCACGTAATACATCTCATGTTACGTCATCTATTATTTTCATTTGTTTATTGTTTATATGTATAACACTTGCGTTTAGTCATTTGTCCATGGATTTGTCCACTTATCAAGAGATTATCACATGATGTTATTTATTGTTATGTATTTATTTGATTCTTTTATTTACACATTTAACTTTGATTTTTGATTATTTTTTTTTCTATTATATTTGCTCTGTTCATTTCTAGGTTTATTAATGTGATTAATTATCACTGTAGATTTAACAACCTGTAATATTCATTACTGATCCTGTTGTTAATAATTTCGTATCCACGTTTTTTTTCGTTATTATTTGTTATACTTAGTTGCTTTTTTGTTTTCTCTTTTGATCTTGTTTACGATTTTGTTTATTTACTTATATGTTTAGCCATTTGATTTGGTCATATCCACTTATTGTTTACAACTGGTTTAGTTCATCTAGTCTTTATTGGTTATTTATTTATTGATTTATATTGGTTGTTTATTTATTGATTTACATTGGTTATTTATTTATTGATTTACATTGTTGATATTGTTTACTGTTTTATTATTATTTACAAGTTTATTCATTTATGTTATGTCCATTCATATTATTATGTTTTTGTTCATCTAGATTGAGTTAAATTATTAGTACTATTATAATATTACTATTATATTATTATAATATTATTGTCAGATTTATTTTTTTTAACATCATTTATGTTGCTTTCTACAATGTCCGGTGACTCATCGAAGTTCATTTGTTCATAAAAAATACCAAAAAATAAACGACATCAAATTAACAAGAATGAAGCAGAAAATTATTAACAACGACTACTTGCTCCATATCGACCAGTTCATCAATATAAAACATGTTTTATTAATCATTATATGACCATCGAAGAAATTGATAATTTATTTCTCATAGCTCAAGAAACACATCATTTCATTTTTAATACAGAGTCTGATTATCGTACAAATCATCCGGCTCTGATTCAAATATTTTTTATGCTTGATACACAACAAATTTCTCCATTATTAATTATTGAAGCAAATTTATTACCCGATTATGCTTCAATCGTATTTAACAAATTACAACAATTATTCAATATTATTTTTCGTGATGATTCATATTTATATTGTTGGGGTTTATTACTTGCTGAATTAAATTCGTTTTTACAATTTCAACTTTTTTCTTTACCTTTACCTTCTTATTTACACAACAGTCAAACTGTTTTTCAAATTTGGTTTGATGAATGGTTACAATGTTCATCATTAATTAATGATGATACTACAGATACGAATAATGATACATTAATCATTACTGCACCTGTTAATGATTCAACATTATTTCTATCACCTGAAAGAATTAATCATATTAAATTAACAAAGAATGAAGCTTGGGGCATTCAAGATTCGATCGCATATATATTCAACCAATACTTATCCAAGAGATATACATTGCAACGATGATTAGATCCTCGATTTTCAAATAATGATAAAACTTTATCTACATCTCGTCGGGCAAAATTAATTGAAGATGTTACGTACGATTGCCTATCGGTAGCACAATTAATCTTATTCATGTATAATTCACATACACCTAGTTCTCGAAAATGCATCAAATATTCCATCACCTCAGGCCAGTATCGTTTATATGAATATGAAAAATTTTTTCAAAATTTCTTTCAGAATGAATCATCCAACAACTTGTTATATGGTGAAGATATGGATAATTCGATGATCGTTCATGACGAAGATGAACATCATCACCTCCACAACGCAACTACTTCAGAGAGTTCAACATCGTCAAATAACATTATTATTACAACAACTAAAAAATATCAACCTCGATCCTTAGCAATACGAAAACATTGAAATCATAAAACAAGTCTTCGTTATCGCAAGAATCGGTATATCTATGAAGTCATTCGGCCAATTAATACGACTATTACAATGGCAAAACATATATTAAAAATTTATAATATTAAATATCGAAATGTCAACATCGTGAATTCAACTTTATATATTGATTTGAAATCGTCAAAACATCAAGATGAATATGAACAATTGTTACCAATGAATATATTTCTGTAATTCCTGTGCATCTAAGTTAGTCATATATTTTTTTTCTTTTGCTTTTTCCTTGTTGTTGTTCTTGTTTTATTGTTATTATTTCCTTTCTTTTTTTCCCTCTTTTTTTTTTCTTTTGTAAGAGGGGAGGTGTTAGGATCCGCCATCTATATTTTATATATAGATGGACGATTCTCCTTTCTTCTTCCTCTCTATTTCTATCTCTCCTTACTTCACTAGTCAGTAGTCGTTGTGTGCTTACTAGACTGAGTGAAGACGTAAAAAATATTTATATATGTGCTATTGATCTACGGTCTAACGGTTGTCTACTTGTTATTTTTTTTCTTGTTGTCTTTTTTTCTTTTGTTAAGAAGTTTAGGTTCATCTTCAGTAAACATTTTGAAATAAAAGGAAACGGAACCTAACACTGACGATTTGCGTTACTCCTCGACATATTTACGCATGTGGGGAAGGAGCGAATGCAAACAACATACACTTTTATAAAGTATGAATCATTCATCTGAGTGTCTGTCTGATGCTTTTTTCTTTGCTTTCTGTTTTTTTTCTCCTAATACTAACAAAAATCTTTCTCTTTCGTGTGCATTCTCGAGAAATAAAAGACACGTGATAGAATTCATGCGGGAGCAGTTCTCTCATTTAGGATTCGTTTTTTCTTCAATGTTAGCATTTTTTGTTATACAAAATCGAGTCTGTTACATTCCATTTCTTTTAGATTTTGATCATTCATCTATTATGTCTGTGGTGCCAAACAATCGTAGTCAATTAAATACCGCAACAAGTCGAGCACTTAATCGTATAGCGAATACCTACATTCACAGCGATTCAATCAATGAGGCAAGTCCAACACGTGCTCCTGCAGGTGATGACCACGAGCAGTCTTCCACATGGATTGATTCATTAGCTCAACTTGATCGTCTATTTTCCGGTGGTCTACTTCGTTTCTGCTATAATCTCATTGATATTGTTCTTCTGTCTCTTGGTCTTCACTATGGTACAAGAACATGTAGCGTCTCCAATGCACTGGCAATTGTATCCATTTGTATACTTGTTTTTGGTAGCATTGCACTTGCTTTGACGCTTCTATTTGTCATAAAAAACTGGTTTGTACGTCATAGGACTTTGGCTGATGAGGAAACTGCACGTCGATATCGTCAAGGCTATGCTCTACGCAGTTTCTTTCATTTTCTGAAATTTATATGCGTTTGTGTCGGTATGGCCTATGCATTCACATCGAAGAGACTAGTCAATAAGGACTGTGAAATTGTTCGCTTTTGCTTGGGTATTGTTTGTTTCAATATATGGGTTTTAATTTCTATTTGGCCATCAAAACCTTCACTTCCCATAAGACGATCATTGATTTTCGAATGCTTTCTTTTGATCTTATCGATTATTTTCAATAGTATTTATTTTGGTTTTGTGGCATTTGCGACAATTCGAACTCATGAATCCACATGCGTTTATAGTCGCATTGAAGATCTCTATTTTGATGCACCACTCAAATCATTTGGCTACATTGGACTGATTTTAATTGGTTGTCTAGTCACTATGAATATCATTGCTACCATTCTCAATCAACTCTATTTTTGTCTACCGAATTGGCGAAAATTGTTCGTCTATTTATCCGCTATTCATTATATGATATGTTATGCGATAATGGTCATTCTTGTCTACTATTTTTCAGTCGGAGCTGTTCTTCTATTTAGACCTCGTTCAGGTGGATCGTGTCGCATCGTTGCTCCCAATCTATATAACACTCTTTGGATATGGCAATTGATTCGCATTTTTCTGCCAGTTTTTATCTGGCCACTGGCATTTCTTGTTCGTTGTCGTGGCTTGGCATTTGGAACTTGTCTTGCACAATATTTACCGGCACCAATTACTGTTCCACTTGTCGAAATGCTTCGAGTAGATGTTATCTTCAACATCCGAAATTTGACGATAATTCTCTCTGTTTCAGGAAAGACTACCGGATAATCCTGGTGCGACCAATCCAAATCCTCCGGTATCACCAGATACTATTGAGACCTTACCCAAAGTTGTTTTTGATCCAGTATCTGATGAATTCAATCAAACTCAATGGTCAGTAAAAATACACATCAAAGATTGTTCGGTGATAATTTCTAGGCTTCTATTGATTTTTTGCTAGTTCCATTTGCCGAACGGATTATCCGGTCAATGAAGAAGTAAAAAGATTGCCCTGTGGTCATTTATTTCATTCAGGTTGTCTATTCACTTGGCTAGCAATTACGCATATCTGTCCTGTATGTCGCCAGCGTATCACCTCAGCGAGTTTGTAGAAGACTTTTATTTGCACCTGTGTGTGTATTAGGTTTGTAGAAGACTTTTATTTGCACCTATGTGTGTATTAGTCTTGATTAGTTTTTGTATTTTAAATAAACAAATCATGTCTTATCTATGAAACGAACATAAGCAATAATGTCTTATTTAAGCGAACAGGTATCATTTGAAATTTCTTGGTCAAATGTTTGGTTCTTTTTCTGGGTATTTTTTCAAATCATGCGGTTCAAACAAGTCTGATTTAAATAGTATAAGTCAATGTTTTCTCGTTCGACCCATTCTCACTTCATTGGATAGTTAAAGTGCAATGAACAGGACAATAGCGAATGGAATCTTTTTTCAAACTATTTTGAATCAATAGTGCACAGAAAAAGTCTTCTTCGTTGAATGATCTGATGGAACGATTAAGACGGGTTGTAAATCTAGAGGACGTGGCGATTCTACGACTTCTTCTGTCTGATCATCTTATTTGTCCTGTTGGTCATGTCCATGCTGCTAAAGTGGTTCTCTTCTTGCTGTTTCATTCGAGATGTGACGGTCGCAAGCGATACTGAACGAGAATTCTTTTTTGAACAGCGAACTGTCGATATGTTTCATCTCAGATAGTGATCAATGTCGTCTAAGGATAGCCGAAAGTGGGGTGTGGGTGTCGGTGTGGATTGGTGTCTACGCGTGAGTGAAATGCATATGAACACCCACACCTCACATTCAAACCCACACCCACCCATACCCCATATGACGGCTATGGCAAATCAATCGATGACTACTTGCCATCGTTGACACCTATGTTATCAATTTTTATCAGTGCAAAAATAAGAAACTGCACTATTTTGAAGAAAGTTTCAAAACCGATTGGTACATGACTAGTCCAAACTCATTTGTATTCCACAGAACACGTCTTGATTACTCGACTGATAGGCGTCATTCTGTTTGTTATGTGTACTCTTTTTATCAAAAAAGACTAGACGTGTTGTATCATACTGTTGCCCATCTAGAAAGATTCTAAATCGAAAAAGTAAGAGCATCCGGGACGCTGAATACGACGAGTTGTAGTCTGATGTACCGGTCGATTCCGGACTAGTCTAAATGATAGAAATATAGGGGTGAAGGTTAGATTCGAACATGCATATAATATGTCACTTACTCGTCGATTAGCCAATTGAACTATACGATCGTCGTGATCAACTTCTACATGTCAATAAACATCCTACGATGCTATTTCACAGAACTTTAATCACAGTTTCTTTAGTTTTTGATGTGAATAAAAAGTAATTATAAGAAAATAAAAATTATAAAGTACCATTTTACTACAAAATATTTAAAAAAGTATTCAAATTAAATTATTTTTTATTCATTACACACACCTTAATTATTGTAAAAGGTATAAATTTGTATCTTCCGTCAAGAAGTAAACATCTTACTTTATGCTTCAATACACTTTTGTACTTTTAGTACAAAACAAAGTGTAAAATCTTCACTCTTGGAAAAAACGCTTGGTAGCATCTTTTAGTATGTATAGTAGACAAAATTGAAAAGTTGTACATGAAAACATCGTGAAATATATAAAAGGAGATTCTCTTCTTATTGTAATTTTAGCCAGAGAGAAACAAGAATAGTAATGACAATGTACATCTATGTTGATACAAAATGTGATGTAGTGACTCATTGAATTTTTCCTTCTAAGTCGCTATTCACGTATGTTGGAATTTTCCATGTTTCGTTTTCTCTTTCGTAATATGTGTTTTCCCAACTTATGTTGGAACTTTCCCAGTCCATTGTTATATATATGTGTGATTGTTCTTGTTATATAGTGGTTGTCTGTCTTTCTCTTTCTCATAACTGAGTTACTGTCTCTGTTATCTTTCCTTCATTTTCTTACGTCTAAATAAACTAGAAAAGTTCATCTTAACTTCCAATACGTAACACAAAATTTTATGATTGTTACTAATTTTCATAACGATGCTGTAGTAGATTACGTTCAACTATCAACTATGAAGAGAAACAAGTATTTTTTCATGACGCTGTAGAATTTTAAATATTGAACGTGTTCAGATCTAGATATGAGAGCACTACCCAATTCTAAAACGTCTATTTTATTTTATGTCATTAATAATAATGCCGTTTGATTCTTAGTTAAAACTAATAGCCAAATGATTGTTGTACCACCGACTAATTCATATCCTAAATACATCTGATTATTGATCAATTATTTTAAAAGATGATAAAAATGCTTAAAAATTCTTTGCGTTGCGTTTTACTTCCTTCTATTCCAATAAAGCCAGTTGAAACGAGTAATTCTGATAATTCAGTGCAAAATAAAACGAGCTATTTAAAAAGTTCAGACTAGTTACAGCATTTTTCTTCGATTAGCTTTAATTACATATTGAATTAACAAACGTCACTTTGTCATTTAGACGCTCTACACTGACGGCAGTCTTTGTTCAGATCGTAATGTTGCGTCAGAACATCCGTCAGATATCAAATATTGTCGAGTACGATGTTCGAATTCACCTTTCGTTTGTTTTCTTTTCTCACTTTTGCTGACTGGTCTAGACGGATTAAACTGACAAAACGGACTAGACATGATGAGTGTTAGCATATTCTGGACTAGTCCAGACATAGTAGCATAATATTTCTTATGGAGACGACTAGTCTTGATAGATACACTAGATGTTCCAGACTAGATCTCACCGATAGTGTGGACACTTTAGACTAGTCATGTTGGACGTCCTCACTCATTTGTTGCTTGTCTGGACTAGAAGAGTGAAAATCTGTTGTTTATGCCGTTCAGCGTCTTTTTCCATTGCTAAGAAGTTCTGAGATAAGAGTCTGGTGTCAGTTAGTATAGAAACGTATCCAATCATCATTGACTACGGTTGCCATTGACGAGACGAAACCGCCATAAAAACGTCGACTTATAACTCATACTCGCTCTATTTTTCTTCGAAAGATATCATATGAGTTCGATAAAAGAAATTTCTAGCATTTTTATCTTCTCTAGATTTTTTCCAATGAAGCATAGATGAATTACCGGTAGACATCTGCGTGACCGTTGTGACTGGTCACGCAGATGTCTGATTACCAGTTATTATGATGCTAAGTGACATCCAGTAGGAACAAAAAAAAACCAACAGAAAGTTTCGAGTTTTGTATTACATGTGGTTCTGTTTACAAATGATACAAATCTAAATTTTGTTTACGACAAATAAATAAAAATTAGAAATGAAAATATCAATCTAATTGATATCAGATTATTGTTTTTCATTCATGCATTTCTTTTTTGCGTTTTTCATTTAAAGATGAGTCATTTTGATGAGTTATTGCATCATCTTGGAATTTTCCAGCTAGATGGCTGAGGTGAAATAAAGAAAAAAATCAGCTGATGTCTATAATCTTTTTTTTTCAATTGTTGAACAAGAGCAGACAGAAAAGATATATCATTTTCTCGTTCTCTCTGTCTCTCTCGTCTATATGTAAATGTATATAAAACATACTTCTTTATATGCATCTAGTCATAATCAAACAAGGACAGTAAAATATTGTTTGTTTCATCTCTGTAATTGCATCATTTAGATACGTCATGAGAAAATGACACACAAAAAAAACGTAACCTGATTATTTTTCAGAGACAAAAGTAGTTGTACGATAAAAAAAATAATTTATTGTTGTTTTACTTTACTTGACTTATTCGAAATGGCTTCGAATTTTCTTTGCTTCTTCAAGTAATTCAGATTTTTATTTCAAACATAAATATTTCAATTTTATTTTGAAAAGAATTTTAATATTCCTTTAATTAATCTATTTGTTTCTAATTTTTCTTAAGAAATAGAATTAAATATTCTTTTATTGATCATCATGTATTTTTTTTTTCGTCAAGGTTTTACTCGGTTTTTTTTTCTCGTTCTTTCCTTACGATTACATCGTCGAAATAAAAATAAACTTACCCAGTTTACTCATTATACCCTTTTCTTCCTATATAAATTCAAACGTCAACCTTTCACATTCACTTTCAGATTTTCAACACACACTCACAGCCTTATCTTAAATAATAAAAGTAATTATGACTGGATCAATTCCTCAATTAACTCGTCAACACAGTTCAACTGCAGATCATTCCAAAATGGATAAATCTTATCGTGAAAAATTTCGCCGATGTTCATCTGCAAATGATCAAACTTCAATTGAATTAATATCTGATGATGATTCAGGTATAGAAGAAATTGAACAACAACAACAACAACAACAATTAGAATATGTTTTTCAAGCAATAGGGAATGATAGTGAAGATCAATTATCAATAAAATCATTCATTCCGAATTCTGATGATGGTTTTTCAGAATGTGAAACTCAAGATGAAACAACACTTTCACTTATTAAAAAAGATCGTAAGTTGGACAATATTTTTTTTTTGCTGCTTAGTCATTATGACTCAGCAAACATTTGTAATATCGTTATACTAAATGTTGCTTTTTCTATTTATTTATATTTTTCTCAGTTAAACTTGCTCAAAATATTCCAGATGATACAAAAAAAGATTTTTGTCCTGATACAAGTATAGCTTTTCATGGTGAATTTGCTCGACGTATTTCAGTTCCATTATCATTATGTCACAAAGTTCGTTATTATCTTTTCGCTGAAGAAGAACTTGCTGATGAATATTATACAAATTTACAATTTGATTATCTTAAACTTGATAATGCTAAAGCACAATTTCAATGTCCAAATATTTATTGTCAACATTCATGGACATCAATGCGATCTCGAATTTCATTTTCAATTAGTTCACCAAAAATTGGTTTTATTGTACTTAAAATTTTTGGTCAAGATTGTCAACATTGTCATACATATACTCAAGCTCTTTGGTATATTGGTAAGTCTTTT